CCAACACAATTCATGAAAAGAAGCTAACAGTTCCACACAGCTGAGGGGAATCTCTAATATACAGTGGGCCATTTCTACACATAGTTATTTGATCTAATGCAAATATTAAAAAAACAATGCTAAGTGCAGCTTTAACTTGGTGTTGGCTTCTTCAAGTATCAATATTAAACAATTAAATGTGTTTTAACTTCAGTCTCCTAATAGAGTTTATAAATGCCTGCCATTAGTCAAATAACTGAGCCTCAGCTATTGTTGGCTTTCTAGTGAGTGTGTTGGTTGCGGTGGGGAAGTTGGGACATATTTCCTCTTGGTGACATTCCTTAGCCTGGGGGCTGTGTGCATGTATGTGTGTGTTGTGATGGGGGAGTCCAGAGCAATGTGAAGCACATTGTATTGTACTGCTGGTGTGTGAGGTCAGCACTTTCCTTCCCCCATGTCAGTCAGTCATCCCCCCCCCCCCCCCCCCCCCCCCCCCCCCCNCCCCCCCCCCCCCCCCCCCCCCCAGCACAACACACCACCCACCCACCCTTTACTGCTAACAGGACGAGCCCGCAGCGGAAACCGGAGGTCACCTAATCCCTGGGTGACTCCCCGACCCGTTGGCTCAGGGCTTTCCATTGTCGCTCCACGCTGAGCGGCCTCGCTCAGCCACTTTCTATTTTGTTGTCCTGCCTGATAAGTCATTTTGTTTATTGGTGCATTTGGTCCCATTTTGGCCCCTTCCCCTAACCAGGAAGCAGACGGCTGTCGGCATCCAGTGTGTGACCTGTTGGCTGGTGTAGTAAAGTGGTGTTGTGTTTGCCACCTGGCTGTCTGGATTTTCAGCAGCGTGGAGAAACGTGTTCAGTTCAGCATTACTGCGATCCAACTGAGGCTTCTGGAAGCTATCTGTGACTTTCATGTCAGCCAAGATTGGTTTCCTCTAAGTATCTACTTTACTTTAGACCATGTTGAGTATGTTTTGTGCCTCCTTGACTCCACTTTTTAGCCCCTGTATCTCCCACCTCCTGTCGGTGAGCCTGAGTGGACAGAGGGAGTGAGAGGAGAAAGGGGATCAGGGAATTTATTGTGTTTGTTAACAACCCCAGATGAAAGCCTGAGTGCAATTGTAAAACAGATGTAATGCCCTTACAGCTGCTCCATTGATCAGCTAATCCTTTTGACTAATGCCACCCCCCCCACACACATGCACACACTTCCATCAGCCCTACACCTTTACTGCCCCGTGCTCCCCCTCCCCTCCTCTACCTCAGTGACCCCTGGTTCATGTTACCGGCTCACCTCCCCCATCACAGACCCCCATTGTTCCAACACAACCCGACTCCCCCAAAATGCTAATGACATGTTGTCACCCTGCATACAAACAAAATGACATGACATATTGCAATTACGGGTCTGACCAACTCTGGAATGAAAATGGAGGGGGGCTGGGGAGGAGAGGTGAAGCAGAATGAGGGAACACACAAAGCGTGGACTCGCTTGCCTCCAGATATATATTTTTTGGGGCTGCTCTGATAAAGATTTAGACATTGTATTTATTTCTTATGGATTTGTTTTTCCAAGTTGTTTTTTTGTTCGCTGGCCATACTTCTGTATTTAACCTCCCTCCTCATGAGGCAAGCCACTGGCTGCTGCTGAAACTCTTTCTCCCTCCTCCACCTCCTCCTTCTCCTCACTGCGAACATGTGTTTGTTTTACTTGGCCACTGACTCCCTGTAAGCCATGCGCAGTTTAACTCACAACTACCCTTAGGCAGACATGACCTTTCTGCCTTTTAAAAGCCCAGCGCCGGACTCGATTGCGGGGGCCCCCTACCACTTACTCCTCCAGTCCTGAGGGCGATTGCTGTTGTCAAGCCACCATGTTACCCATTCATCCATCTATCCAACCATGCATTCATCACTGTCACCATCTCATCCATCTTAACTTCTGCCGACAAAACTGGGAGGGGGGCTCTTGGGGGCTCCCACTCCAGAGCCACTCGGGCTCCCAGTATGTAACAGACCCCTGCACTAGCTCTCCATAAACAAACACAGAGCCACTCAAGGCGCATGGGGCCTCTCAAATGACAAACAGTCCTTGCTCACTAGCAAAAGGGAGGAAAGAAATGGCTGGTCTAAGTTTGTCAGATGTTTCAAGTCAGAGGAGGCTGAGAGACTTTTGTTTATGAGAGGGAAAGTGCTCAACCTAGGAGCCCCCCCTCCTCGGGTTTAATGCCCACGTTCATGTCGGGTCAACACATTTTGGCTTCCTTTTCGGTTATTATTCTGTCTCAGGTCTATGGTATTCTCTGCACAGGTTCTTCATTTGGTCACGCTCCCCTGTGTTTCCATGCTTTGATTGGCTGCTTTAGGAAGGAAGGCTGCATCAGCCTCATACTTCCTGCTTCCTGTTGTGTCCAGCAACAATTCATAGCCCCCCCTCCACCTTCTCTGTGGAACCAAGAAGTTTCCTCTTACCGGACTTTGCTCTTTTGTCGAGGAATCTTCTTAAATACCTCAGCAGAGCGTCATCTAGTCTCATTTACTGTCTTTGTGACTCATATATTGAAGAAACACAAACTCATTTACCTTCATAATGGAGAACTGGCCCTAAAAACTGAAGCTGCAGTGAAGGCACTCTGCTACAGGCCTCCTGTTGGGTGGTGTGCACTGGAATGCAACTTGATTATAGAGGCGGCTTGCAGTGTAAGGCCATCATCTCCGCAGACCTGACCACGATGCATTGCAGCTTGCACTGTAGCGCCAAAAAGAGGCTAGTCCTCCTCTATTCAGTTGCCATGTGGCATTTCGGCTATTCCCATCTGCAATGCTTGTGTGTGTGTATGTTTTTTCTTTCAGCACTTGAATGGCATGGCATTCTCCTTGCCCACTGGTCAGTGGTGAATAGCAATGTTAATGGGTTAGCTGGGAGCCTTTTTAGTGAGGACTGGGAGGAGAGAAAGGAGGGGAGGAAGGAATTTGGGGATTACGAGGAGGAGAGGTAGGGGTATGAATCGGGGTTTGAGGCAGCAGCTGTTCCCTCTTCTCAATGGAAGAGTTCGCCCTGGCCTGTCTCTTTTCTTTCTCCTCTCTTTTCTTCAGTCCTCAGCAGGATACAGTATTCCTCTCTTTCTTTCTTGAACCTTCTGTTCCTCATAGCACCTCTCTCCTGCCTCGCCCCGACCTTGCCTGGTTCGCGTTAATGAGTAGCAGCGGCTGTTAGTGAAACAGCTGGCCAAGACAGAGAGGAGATACTGTCTTGAGGGGAGTATTGAGTAACATGTGAGGCTATTGGACAAACTTACAAATTCTTCTCGTGCTGAGTATGTTTCCCTCCACCATTGTTGTCATGCTCTTCAGTTAATACACACCTCTTCACAGCAGCTTGGCCGCAACTCGGTGAACCGCAATGATAGAAAACGCTGAATGGAGTCGAAGCAAAACTAGTGGTGAATAGAGTAAATCCCCCTGATATGACTTAAATGGAGCGGGAGCCGTGCGCTTTCCGTCTTGTGTGTGGTCACTTGAAGCTTCCAAATGAACTTCATTCAAGTGAACCGCAGAGTAAAGCAGCCATAGACAGAGACAGTATCTCTGAGTGAATCTGATATCGTCTTTGTCCTTGGTTCTGCTTTTCAGTTCGTCTCTGTTGGAATCTGACATCGAAACTGTGTGTGTGCCTCGGTCACTGGCATGAGCCTCAGTCTCTCACGCATGCTTCATTCGGTCCTCTTTCTACATTGTCTCTCTGTTGTCATACTTGTCTTCATTTCTGTCTGTTTTCTTTTCTCTCTTGCATCTTTCTTCTTCTGTTGTCCTTTGGCCCACATCTAGGCTCTCATTTGCATTGTCAACATCTCATGACATCTGTCATGAGCTATTTAAACGCTCCGGGCAAACATCTTGCAAGGAAGGAAGGAAATGTGTGTGTGCATGTATAAATGTATGTATGTGTGTGTGTGTGTGTGTGTGTGTGTGTGTGTGGCTGAATTGATTTAGCAGAGGGACATGAACAGGTGACAGGCAGTGGACATAATCCCTCTTCTGATGTCAGATTTACCCATGTGTCCACGGGTGTGCTTTGCATACATGTATGTGTATTTTGTGCATACAAATGGGTGTGGGTGCATGTGTGTTGTGCACACATGAATGTGTTAGTGTGTGTGTGTGTGTATGTGTGTGGATGAATGTGTGATGGTGTGAGGACATGAGCAGCAGTCACTGGAATGCTCTTGCAGAGTCAAAGGGGGGCCGTCTCATTTTCACTCTCCTTTATGGCGCGCTCTCTCCAAAATTTCACACCGTATTAAGTTCATATTTCACCACCGCTACGCACAGCTGGATCCTCTACCTGGATTGCTTTATTCCGAGTCAGACGTGTGAAATTAGGTGTCATCTTATACAGGCGATACAGTTTCAAAAGTCTGCATGTGGTTCTTTGAAAGAAAAAAAATACATAATGGACAGTTGAGCACAAACGGATGCTGTGCTTTTGACTACTTAGCTTCTATTTCTTGGGGCTTTCCTGATTTTTGTTGCCTTTAATTCACAGCATTGAAGACTGACTTACTGTCATGGAATGTGGGATGACTGGTTGTGTTTGTTGAGAGAGAGAGACAGTAGGAAAGCAGCTTCAGAGGGGGGTTGGTGGTTTAAACAGTAAAGAGAAGGAGTGCCTGCTAGGCAGGGAGTCTGTGTTTCTGTTGCAGGGTTGGGTTCATGTGAACAACGTCTTAGCTGGAATGGACAGTGTTTTAATGAGCAGAGTCAACACTGCGCAGAGTCCTGTTTTCCCTCACGTATCTCAGTCAAATCTGACCTTTCGCCTTAACATAACAACGTGTCCAATCAACCTTGTTGTGCTACACGCAAGGAGATAAGTTCACAGCATTTCTGATTGTTCAAAGAGGTTTGAATGATCTGGAGGAACTGGCTATGCACTGTCTTGTATAGGATTTTGCCTGAAGTCACTATTGTCCTCATTCACCTGTTGATGCAAATGTGTTTTTGTGTTTGCAGAATGTCAGCCTGGCTTCTTCAAAGCTGCAGCATCCAGTGACAAGTGTGAGCAGTGTCCTGCCAACACCCAGAGGTTGGACTCTGGTGCTCTTCTTTGTCCCTGTGTGGATGGCTTCTACCGGGCCCCAACTGACTCCCCTACTGGACCCTGCTCAGGTAATGAGTTGCTTTGGTCTCTCATGAGAACCTTGCAATAAGAACGTTGGACATATTTGCTGCCTATGAGCTACAAAATAACCAAGCAGCAACCTCTGGGGCTGAAAATGAAGCCAACACAGAAGTGCCAAAAACTGCTCACTGAGGCTGGCTCCAAAAGTGAGTCAATACCCACAGACCCCAAAAATGCCTTAAATTTATAGCATAAATAAACGTGTTAACAGCCTGGTAAAAAAAAAAAAAAAAACTGTTTTGATCTCTACAGCTAATTTCCCTGTTTATGACAACTGTACGGGTGGTGTAAATTGAGGCTAAAAAATTCGGCATAATTAAGGGCATGGCCACAGGCCAACAGGACAGTGCAATCTGTTGACAGGTTGCTACTATGGCAACAACGTTGGTTGTGTATCATATCCATGGCATAACCCCAGATTCAGCCATAGCTGTTGTATTTCAGTGTGTTTTCAGTCCTCAAAAAGTAATTGTTTTGGTTGTCTAAAATTTGGATCTTCTTTAAGACCCTCTTAGGTGGCGGATATTCAGTATTTCTGGGATTTTATTTTAAGCTCATTTTTAGCTAGTGAAAATTAGCATTATAATTAATACAGTTAGCTATAGACTGTAAATGCACCACTGTAAATGCTAGCAGCTAGCATTAGGGTTAGTTTCACTCTCTCATCCAAATGTGGTCACTTCTGGTTCCAAAAATCTAAGATGGTGATGGCAAAAATGCCAAACTGAAGGCTTCAGAACCAGAGTCCACAAACCAATGGGTGATGTCACGGTGGCTATGTCCATTATTTTTTACAGTCTGTGGTTTTAACCCTACATGATGTGCAGGGATTAGATATTCTTTGCTTGTTGCACTTCCTCTGCACACTTAACTATGTGGTTTAAATAGATAATCATAATCCTGAATTTTAGACCTTCTAATATTACTGTCATGTCAGAAGGAAATCCCCCACATTTTGCTTCCCATGGTTCTCTTCTTCCCTGCTAACATCCCATATCCTATACCAATCTGTGTTTACCAGGCCTCCCCTCTGCCCCACGAGACCTTGTGGCCACCACCACCCAGCTCTCCGCAGGAAAACTCCTCCTCTCCTGGAGCCCGCCTGAAGACACTGGAGGTCGAACTGACATCACCTACAGCGTTGAATGCCAGCGATGCGAGGGCAGTGTGTGCCAGCCCTGTGGAGAGAAAATCCGCTATGAACCGGCCAGCACGGGGCTGACCGACACCAAGGTTTCAGTGAGTGAGTTGGATGCTCATCTCAACTACACCTTCAATGTGGAGGCACACAGCGGCGTGTCGATGTTTGCCAGTCAGGCGACATCGCAGGTTTTTAGATCACCATCTACCAACACTCTGACTACATCGCTGCACTACACAGGTGAGTGCTGCTGATATGAGGCAGTGGAGTGATACTATCTGTGCTGCAGTAATGGCAGATGCTATCTGTGAGGCAGTGACACCTCTAACAGTCGAAGTGGGCTGCAGGAGTGAGATAAAATGAACTAGTTAACCCAGCTTACCTTAAAGAAATCATACTGTTGTGTGGTTCTTGCTAATGAACTGTCAGGTAATCAGTGGAGAGCGCAGCAGGATTTTTGGTGCTTTATGAGGTTTTCAAATCCCAAAGATGACGTATTCTCCACCCTCTGTCTTCAGAGCCCCCCAAGATTACCACGATGCGACTGGTTGAGAGGACCTCCACCAGCTTGTCCCTTTCCTGGGATGTATCCCCCAGACCACGGATCCAATCCCGGCCCATCCGCTATGAACTTACCTACCGCAAGAAGGTGCGTCACTCTTGTTTATATACTGCTATGTGTTGAAATTTCAGAACATTTACCACAGGGCAAGTTTAAAGCTGCACCTAAGATATTTGATATTGACCTCCTTTCTACAGGATGATAACCTGGATGTGACTACCTACATCGTGCTCATACTGGAGAAGAATTTTGTGCATATCAACGACTTGACCCCAGGCACGGCTTACCTCTTCAGGGTGCAGGCCCTTGGCAGCGATGGCAGCCCTGGAGGCTCCAGCATGGAGGAACAATTTGAGACCTCATCTGAAGGTACAGATGTGAACCACCATGAAGAAAGTTTCGTGAGCTTTGTTCAAGAGTGGGATTTTTCTGATGTGCATCTAAGTTTTCTTTACTTTTCCAGGACGCCTTACTCAAAACAACACGGCAGTCATCTTCGGCGCAGCAGTCGGAGGCGCGGCCATGTTGTTCATAGTGGCCGTGGTCCTGTTCCTACGCAGACGGTCAGTAACCACCCCCCTCTGCTGCTCTCTCAGTCTTTCTGTCCTGTTAATCAGTCAGAATGCACCCTCCTTCACTGGCTTCCTCTCTCATTCTTCTGCCTCTCCTTTGTGGGGCCTCCAAATGGCCTTTGCATTCACTCTCTCCTCACCTCTCTCTTTCTGTCTTCCTTTAGCCAACTTTCTCTTTCTCTTTATCTGGATCTGTGTCCCAGCACTCACTGGGGAAGAATTTGCGTTGAATGCGCCTTGTCATTGCTCAATGGTTATATTCCAGTGAGTGTTGAGGCCTTTGAAAGGAAATTGGTCCGGGGTGGTACATTGTTGGTGATAAGAGGCGCTTAGTTCTTTCTGTACCAGACCGCAGGCACTTTGTAAAGGTGACCTGGGCCTGTACTGTAGCAGACTGTAGCCCTTCTGTCCACCTCCCTCCCGCCTGCTTGTCTGTCTTTCAGTCTTTAAATCGGCTCGGCAAACACAGTCTATCAGCCTCTATCAAAGGGCCGCCTCCGTATGAATGGACGAATTGCACCAGTGTCGGAATCCTTTTGAAAGCCTTAGAACGTCTTGAAAAATGCTCACAAAGGTTGCTATGTGCTATTGATATTAAAGCAGGCAAATGATATAAAGACAAATGTCCATTTGTTCTTTGAAAGTGGGATATTAATTTGCAGATGGGTTTTATCTTTTCATCCAGGAAAAGAAACTCCCACACCAGACAAGGACCAGAGGACACCTACTTCGCCAGCTCAGGTAGACAAAAAAATCTCTCTCATCTCGTTATCTCACTTTATTCGATTTATATCATGAATTAATTAACATACAAAGATTTCTTGTTTGTTTTATTTTCCTCACAGAGCAATTAAAGCCTCTGAAGACCTACGTGGATCCACATACATACGAGGACCCCAACATAGCAGTCCTGAAGTTTGCCACTGAAATCCACCCCAGCCACATAACCAAACAGAAAGTCATTGGAGCTGGTGAGTGACATCCCTGTTGAGACAATCTGCTGTGGGGCTTAACTCGGAGATGTTGAAAGATTTTTCCAATCCCCAAATTCGTTGTTTATATTGTGCATTTTCCACAGTTTAGCAGGCTGACTGACAGTGGTTACTTTAGTGAGATTAACATCTATCTGGCTGCGTTCTCACACAACAAGTTGAGACATTTTGTTGTGAGGCAACTCTTGGCTGTGGGATCTATGTGTTTTGGCTCGAGTTGACATGAACAATTACACAAAGAAAGTGTTGCAGAAACAGTATTTTGGAAGGATATCAGAGCACGTTCCAGGGCCGGCCCTACCCAGATCTTTCATTCCTTATAGGTTTATTCAAGTGCGATCACCTTTACCCTTTGAACCAATACTCTATTTTGAACATACAACCCCTCCCAAGTTCCCACGACCGTGCCCCCCACCTTTTCTCCTCACGTGACAGCTGATTCCCATGCTTCCACACCACAGGCCATCCACCAATTATACAACATATAGTCGTCTCTTTCTCAACACCCAGCCAGAACACACCTCTGTGAATGTGCCTCGGGCAAAACAGCCGCAGAGACTTCCTTATTTCAACTCTATTGCACAGCAACCCCTGCAGCGTGAAATCCGAGATGACACATCAAATGCACATTAACCTGATATCTCTCTCCTAAATCAATCATCCCGTTGATGTTGTTTTCCTGCAGGGGAGTTCGGTGAGGTGTATCGTGGCATTCTGAAGGTCCCGGGGAGGAAAGACGTGGCAGTGGCTATCAAGACGCTGAAGCCAGGTTACACAGAAAAGCAGAGGCAGGATTTTCTAAGCGAGGCCTCCATCATGGGCCAGTTCTCCCACCAAAACATCATTCGCTTGGAAGGAGTGGTCACCAAATGTAAGGATTTCTGTGAGTTATATGACGTATTTTTTTTCTTTTTGTTTTTTTTCTTATATTTTTTTCACCTGCTTGGGCCAGTGCGGGAACATGATGTGTTCTGTTCTTTTTTTTTCTGTGTGTGCAGTCAAACATGCCATGATTGTGACTGAATACATGGAGAATGGAGCACTGGACAGGTACCTTAAGGTAAGTCCACCACATACCATTTTTGCCAGTGGAAATGTCTCTACTATGACTATTGCCAAAATGAGCATACACAATATTGGATAACTTAAAAAGTGGGTCTATATCTAGATCTACTGGGCCATGATGCCTGTTTTATCATTTACTGTACTCAGGGTTGGAATTTAACACCTGCCACTGGCCAGCTTTAGGCGAATTTGATTTGATTTGACCAGCCACAGTGGCGGGTAAACAGTTTGACACACACTCTTAAATCCCTCTGTGAAAAAGTCAGTCATCAGCTGCTCTGCCTAAATAGTTTTGTTGCAGCTGCAGTCTTGGTTAGTAAGATGCTTTTTTTTGTGTTAATTGGCAGATCGTAAACCACCTTTAAAAGGCGCATACCACCACCTACCGAGTTGGAGTTTGTAGCCTGTGCATGATCCACACTTTGAAGTAGAAGGATACAGTCTGTACTTTCTTTTTGTCTTGGTCACAACCCTAACATGAACCTGTGTTTGCTTTCTCCCATCAGGACCACGATGGTGAGTTTCCCTCCTTCCAGCTGGTAGGCATGCTGCGTGGCATCGCAGCAGGCATGAAGTACCTCTCTGACATGAGCTACGTCCACCGCGATCTCGCTGCCCGCAACATCCTCGTCAACAACAACCTGGAATGTAAAGTGTCAGACTTCGGCCTGTCCAGGGTGCTGGAGGATGATCCCGAGGGGACGTATACCACAAGTGTAAGTAGATATGGGACTTCCTGTTAGCAAAAAAGATTCACCTCAGTCACGTCATATGATGTGTCTAAGGGCAGGGCTTACTAACTTGAGGCTTTTTTTCCTGAACAGGGAGGTAAGATCCCCATTCGCTGGACAGCTCCTGAGGCAATAGCATACAGGAAGTTCACCTCAGCCAGTGATGTGTGGAGTTTTGGCATTGTCATGTGGGAGGTCATGGCCTTTGGCGAGAGGCCTTACTGGGACATGAGTAACCATGAGGTATGTTTCAGTGTTTACAGGTTGCACTTTTCTCTTATGTTGAGAGAAGTGAGAGAAGGTCTAATCAGTCACCTTAAAAACTTCTTGCAGGTGATGAAGGCCATCAATGAGGCTTTTAGGCTGCCAGCGCCAATGGACTGTCCCTCAGCCGTTTACCAGCTGATGCTGCAGTGCTGGCTCCAGGATCGCTCCAAGAGGCCGCGCTTCGGAGACATCGTCAACCTGCTGGACAAGCTGCTGCGGAGCCCAGACTCCCTGAAGACCATCGCAGACTTTGACCCACGGTAAGATTTATTTACACACCAGACTAATAGCCTGAATGAATATTTTTCCAGTGCTGACCCTTCAGTAGCTGCCACTATCAGCAACCAACTCCTAGAAACAACCCTGTAAGCAGAACTTTTGCAACATTTCTTATATGAAATTAAATTCCTACTCTCACTTCCGCTAACTTTTAGTTTTCCTTCTGGATAGTTCTAGTATCTACTTAGAGGGATACTTTGCTTATTTGCAACCAGCTTTGTATAATAACATTGTGGGAGCATGTGTATATGTAAATGTACTGTGGTAGACTTCCTTGCATCTTACCAGCAGCCAGATCTCCCTGCTCATCTCTCGCCAGCTCTAGGGTTATTGCTTAAAGTACAGATTGTACCTGCACATTTTCATATGCATGCCACCAGGAACACAAGGAGTATTTTAAGCGGATTGAGAGAGATATCCACCCCTCTCTTTTTCTGTCTCAAACTCAGACCAAAATCAGGCAGTGCTGATCAAATATGACCCAAGATTCTGTTACCGTGTTCTGTTACCTTAAAAAGGTGAAAAATAGGCAGAACATATTTTAGCTCACTGTTTTACTGTAATTCGAGATTGCTTGTTACCAACTGGCCTCCACATTGTTTCCTGTAGAAAAACAACCAAACTTGCATTATGTCACCCCACTGGTGCAGAGTAGTGCACTCTGGTAGTCTTGAGCAAAAGCAAAAGCCACAGCCTTTTCTTCTCTGTTTTCTCTGCTCATGTAGCACCAATGTCAAAAGTATTTGTGTCTTTCTACTGCAAAGACAGCTCAGTAATGTGAAAAGACCATCTTTCCAGCAGTGAAATACTTCTTTAAGTGGCATAAAACCCTGATAATAAGCACCCAGTGTCGTGTGGTCTCCCTTAGAAGCAGAACCTTTCTCAGCTTTAGAAAGACTTCTGTTAGACTAAAGCTATGTAAATACACTTTCAACAACTTAGACAGGACATTTTTTCTTAAAAAAAAAAAAAAATTATAGGCATGTGATAGTAAAGATAAGGACAAGAAACAAGGGGTTAGAGAGAGGGGTATGGCATGCAGGCTGAATACAAACCAGGGACATTGTGGTAATCTGGTATTGTCTCTTCCACACCCTGGTCTTGAAACTTGACTTGGACTTGTCTCAGCAGTCTTGAGACTGCTTCAGAACACTTAAAACCCACAGCTCTCCATTTACGTCAGGTTAAAAATGGTCTGGGTATTTAAAGTACTTTGGGGGAGAAAGGGAATAGCTTTAAGATGTTCTACTTAAAGCATTAAAAGGACATACCGACACCTTGCCTGCCAGGCTAATGAAAGAAACGTGTGTACACTCCTGGCAGGGAATTACTAACTGCTCTTACGGCTCTATTGTATGTGATTGTGTGCATGAATGCATTATTTTCCCTTTTGTGAGGGAGCATTAAAGCCAGAAACGGTGAGAAAGGACAAAAGGCTGTCGCGCTCATATCTTAATCGGCTCTCGCCCTGACTGCTCCGACTGGTTTTTATCACCAACCGGTTTCCTGTACAGTAATTACAGTCCTCAGTCATATGCCTTTGTTGTGGGAAAGCCTGTTGATTATTATCATTTGGGTCTACTTTTCTTTGCTTGCAGCATATCCATCCGCCTTCCCAGCACCAGCGGCTCGGACGGTTCCCCCTTCAGGTCGGTGTCTGAGTGGCTGGAATCCATCAAGATGAGTCAGTACAGTGAGAACTTCACCTGCGCTGGGGTGGTCACCATGGAGCAGGTCCTGCAGATGAAGAATGAGTAAGTGGGGCATGATTTCAGATTTGGTGGCGCCACATAACAAGTTTTGATGTATTTATTTTATTTCCTTGTTAAGTATGTTTTTGGCAGAGAAGAGGGACATTTTGTTGTCACATTATGCCACGAGCTATAACCAGCATGTTGCACAAAGATGTTTTTTCCTCCCAAGAGGAATTCTATTATGGACTTCCCCCCCCACAAGCTGCCCTGGGCAGCACTTTTGCTAGAGCCCCAAAAAACCACCAGTTTTGCCTGTTAAGGGCAAAGGCCTTTTGTGGCTTCTTCGACATTAAAGGAGGGGAGGAAGAGGAGAGAATAGCCTGTGGAGCAGGGGCAGCTAGGGGAGATTAAGGAACTGAAATAGATGGATGAGATTTGAAGCCCCGTAGTCGGTACATTTGTACTTCTAGAAAGATTGAAGAGGTGCGCTCAGAATGTCCCCCATGAACTTATCACAGGGTACTTCAAGGAAACTGGATCTTCTCAGATGTGTAGGAGCACTAAGGGTGCAATTTAATGGAATGGACTCAACCTTTTGGAAAAAAAGGCCTAGTGAAGCACATTATATGAGGTTGTTTGGGGGCAGTAATGAGGGCCAGAGCTTTTCCTAACTGCATGACCAGCTAGTAGGCCCCCCCCCCCCCCCTTTCCTCTGCCAAGTTATACATATCTCAGTTCGTAAAGGTTGTGATTTGGGAAGATGGGCAGACTGTAAAGCAGACGACAAACCCTTTTGAAGTATTTGTCATACAGAATGGTGTGATTTCATGGCCCCATGTTTCCATCGCAGGGCATCTGGTAGCACTCTTGGAAAACCAGCAGTTATTTACGACCCACCCTCTGCTTGCCAGACAAGTGATTCATGGTCAACAGGGAGAATCCTCGTTAAGTAATTAAGGCTGTAATTAAGGCTTTGACTTTGGGCTGCTGTGTTTCAGAGCTTTTGCAGGTTTGCATCATGTGCCTGTTAAGAGCGAAACCCTCAGTTATTATCCTTTAATGTCGAAGATAAATTGAAACCTCGGCAGATTACTAACTTGGAACACACCCCACCTTGCTCTACTGGTTCAGCGACAGCGCTAGAAGTGAATGGAGTCGAGGCTGGCATTTCAGCACGTTGGATGAGTCAGTGATTACTACAAGGCCTGAGAAGCAGGAAGGATGTGCATGAAAAGTGTTGGAATGAGTCCAAAGATTAAGTCCATGTGCAGCTCCTCTTACACTCTGTCATGTCTCTTTCTTTCACAGGGATATTAAGAACATTGGGGTGAGGCTTCCTGGCCATTTGAAAAGAATTGCTTACAGCATTTTGGGTTTAAAGGACCAGACCAGCACCCTGAGCGTCTTTGCAGTGTGATCCTGACAACGAAGGGAATTAAATTCGGGCACTGAAGCCGGCAGCCCTTTGGACTCCAAGCTAAGCTGGGGCAAAACTGCAGGGACGGCCTTGGATCGGCAGGACCAAGAAAACAACGCCATCCTTTGCGGCCGACTGAATCAGACTGACTTACTGTACATTTTTGATTTCTTCATCTTATCCACACGGGAAACGAGCAAATATACAACAATAGATGTATCAAGTAGACTCTGTATATTTAGATATCTATTTTTATTATCCATGCCTTTTGTACAGTTACAATTCATTGCTCATGCATTTATTTTTTATCCCCTTCATTTTGCATTCCTGCTTCATAAAAATCAACAATCAATCCAGTTCTGGGAACGGCTTCAGTTTAACAAAACTCTGAGCTTGTTGCATGTGGTATCAAACAAACAAGGGAAGAACAGTAAGTGTGATAGTGTGGGAGCAGTGGAGTCGGGGCCTGGCTCAGGTTGTGGTTGGTGCTGATGTCACAGCGCCTCCCTTTAATTGGCACTTTGGTCCATTTCCTGTCAGACCGATGAGGATGGAGTGTTTTCGAGAGGGCTGAAATGAGCTTGAGCTGGCCCAGAGTTAAAGAGATGGTGTTGCTTAGGTGTATAAACACAGACAGACCTGGTGTTGTTACTGGCCTTCTGCTGGCTGCAGGAATTAAGCTATAATCATATAAGTAATGTTATATGAATAAAAAGAGAGAGCATATATGTGAGGTACTCTTTGTGTACAGACTACCCAAAACATTGGGATTAAAACGTTTAATGTAGCACTTGGATCAAGAATCTTATTGTCTTGGTTTGTCTCAGACTTGCAAGAAAAGGGCAATTACACACAAAATCCTGAACAAAAATGAAATGTATTGAAGCATGGGCGTAGATTTCAGGGGGGACAAAGGGGGCACGTCACCCTATTTAGAATGCGCATTTGACTCCCCAGTGAAAGTAGCGGAGGACTTTTATTTTGATGTCATTTACATCAGAAATTGATGCAAAAAAAATCATCAGAATGCAGGAAATTTTCTGACAGTGAACCCCAAACCCCCCCTTTTAATATTTGTCCCCCCAAATGTTGAAGCAAAACCTACGCTCTTGTATCGAAGTGATAAATTGTGTGAATGCAACTAATTAGAATACAATCTGTTTTTAGCGTGCCAGTAATGAAGAGGCAGAGGGTGAAGTTTGCCAAAAATGCAAAAGCCCCAGGAAAAACAAAAAAAAAAAGATTTTATGATGATGAGTCTCGTTGTGCTTGACATGATTTCATACTTAATAATAGTTTGGTTTTCAATTTCATTGTCTTGTTTAGTTTTGTAGAAGCTATAAAAATATCCATTCATGTTTCTGTTGGTTTGAGTAACATGTTGACCGGATGAAACTATATGCTTTGACAATTAAGTGCCCGGCTCGTTCCAGACATTCAAAGACATTTTAAAGTGCCTGTTTGTGGAACATTAGAGAGAGTTTGCTTTTGTGTGTTTTAATGAAGCAGCTCTCCACTGTAGTGGGAAGTGTATAGTGGACAGTTTCCCCAGTGCTCTTAATTGATGACTGCAAATCATTGTGTTACTGATGTACACCTTCCTTTACTTGAATTTTTACTGTGTTTTTCAAATGTATCCATGATACTATTGTAGCTGATAGATCCAACTTTGGAAAAGGGATTTTTTTTTTGTTTTTGTTTTTTGTTATTACTCTGGTTTACTGGTTGCAATTACATTTTGTACATTTTGTATGATTTCACTATATCACCAAACTGATTATTTTTCTATGCTCATCACTTTCCAAAGCGATGTCTCCTACCTTTGCTGCCTTTCCAAACCTTTTGAGAGTTCCTTCAACAAAAAGCAAACTCCTTCCTTTTTGCCTGTTGTTTTATACTGTATTTAATAGCCTATTTATTTTTTACTTTTATTTATTTATGCTGATAAACACTGAGCTGGGATTATAATTGAAGGTTGTGCTCTCATTCTCAATAAAAAAAAATAAAACCCCTAATGTTCCTTTTTTTAATTCTTGAATTATTACTGCCATCCTGAGATCGCCTTTGTGGAGCAATAAAGTCCTAAATTGAATTTGGCAAACGCCTGCTGTATGATTGACGCAAAACAGAGCAGAGGAATGCTTTGTTTGTTTTAGACGGTGCCAGGATGTTTATACTTCCACCTGGATATCCTTATAATTCTGTTGGATGGTTTTAATTCCAAGTTAGAAGCTGTAATAAGCACTTGCGTGCTTCATCGTCTACAGGGGGGGAAACGGAGGTCCGGCAGTGGTGGAATGTAACTAAGTACATTTACTTAAGTACTTTTTATTTTTACAAATTTGATGTACTTTTCCTGAGAATTTCCATGTTATGCAATTGTTACTCCTTTAAGCACAGCACCGGCAGCTACAAATGACCTCAGAGTGGAAAAAGTTGAATTATAGCAAAGGTACCCCAGTTAGAAATCTCTGTTAGTTTACTAAAGCGGCTTGGAAAAGTAGTTCAAACTACTCTGTTGATTATTTATAACTGATAATGTACATAGAGTATGAAATAATACAAAAATATGCCAAAAAATGCCACGTGGATGAGTTGCCAACAGTGCCCACTTGTTCATAGGCCATAAAAAAGGAATAACCCACTAGTCATGGGAATGTATAAGGAATGTCAGTTTTGGTTTTGTATGCAGTGTCTATCAGTCAGACACCTGCCTTCCAGGTTTAATCACATGTATGATTCACTACTCCCCAACACTACATTCAACACATGCAGTTAAATTTCTACTCCAGTACATCTCAGGGGGAAATATTACTGCTATCTATCTGATAGCTTTAGTTACCTTCTGATAAACTGAAGGTTGAAGTGAACTGTTATGGTTGAGAAAATTCCCCTGCTTCTTGAGCTAAATCAACTATTGAAAACCTTCTTGTATGAGCTGGACAATGAATCACCACAAAGCTGAACACAGGGCTGTTTTTCCGACACCATGGAAAAAGACACTTTACGTGGTTCTCACGGGACAGCCACATGACAAACGTATGATGATCTGATAGAATATGTTGCATTACTGTAGAATAAACTACTCAAAATGAGTTAAAATTAGAGTTATAATAAGTAAAATGCAACAACACACATATTAATGCAGCAGTAATATAAATCCAAAAGCATCATATGTAATAGTAAAACACTGACAGACCATTTTACAGCAGAATGAGTACCGTTACTTTTGGTACTTTCAGTACATTTTGCTGTAAATATAAACTTTACTGAGGTAAGATTTTGAAGGCAGGACTTTGTAGCAGAGTATTTTCACAGTGTGGTATTAATAGTTTTACATTTAAACGAAGAATCTGAACACACACACACACACACGCACACACACACACACACACACACATTTAGGCCACTTCTGAGGAAATTACATAGACTTCCATTCATTTCCTGAGGACTTACCCTAACCATAACTACTTGCCTGACCCAAACACCCACAGTCCTCTTGTGCCCGTGCCCCCCATTGTGCTCATTTAAAGCTCTGCGTTTTAACCCAAACCTAACTTAAACCACTGACCCATAAATCATCTTTTTTTTTTGGAGACACGGATTTTGAGTCCAATTGGACAAGCCATCCTCAGTGAACTGGGCCTGATGTGTGTCACACACACACACACGCACACTCACACACACACACACACACACACACACACACACACGTACGCACTGTACAAAACACACATGATTTCTCTTACAACAGTTACTGAGAATATTTTGTGGATTTTTATTCTCTAATAAACCAGATATTAAAGCATGACATAAAAGTAAACTTAAAATATCAGATGTTTGTATTCATTAAACAGACTGCGACGTGTCTTGGGAAAGGATCCACCACATGACATCACATTTTCTTCTCCTCTGCTGCGTTGAAGTCGAAGCTGGATGTAAGAAATTCTGTCTATCTCCCTTTAGAAAAAACGGTGGAATGGCCCTTTGCATTAGGATTAAGACATCACCTCACTACAGGCAGATTTTTAAATATAATAATTTAATGTATTTTATATGCTCATAATCCCTACATGACCACAAATCTATCAAACCACATGTGATTAATGCTTTAACGTGATTTATGACAGTGGGGTACAACTTTGAAAATTAAATGTCAAACAGCCTTCCATTTTATTTTGACATATAGCACCTATACGACTCTGTGGAAATGAAAACACAAATGGGATTATTGCTATTGTTTACATTATCATTTTAATAAAGTCCCCTATGAACTTCCATAGTAATGAATATTTCATGGTCAATAAGTAGAATAGGTTACTTGATATGACAACATTATGCTGGAGCATGAAAAGAGTTTCAAACAATTATATTTAAAGCATATTTCTTTTCTGTTTGTTTATTTTACTCTCTGTCATATCATTTTCTTACAATTTTCATACTTTGGCCCATAACAGGCCTTTCTCACAGCAGACGTTTTGACTTGGTCGTCTAAACTACACAAACAAGACCCAGGTGGTAATAAACTTTCCACTGGAGTATAGTAAGCGTCAGAGGCAGTCAGTCTGACCCAGAACCACAAAGAACGTAAATAAACCTGATGTAATGCCGACTTCTCTCATTACCTACACTTATATCTTTCTCCCGATGCTAAACCGGAGATCGGAGGTCAGACGTTTCATTTGGGAACTTCCAATGACTGACCCTAAATGGAATGCAGCATAACAGTGGGCAAGCAGGAAAGCGTGTAAATGTCAGCGTCAAATGTTGCGTTAGCGGCATGTTGCATCAGATTGCAAGACTCACGGAGAGCTTCGGTAGCCGTGTGGTTACAGCACATGCCACATCACCGCAAAGTCCTGGGTTCTATTCTGGCCTTGGGGCCTCTGTTGTATGTCATATGCCCCCCCCCCCTTTCCCTCTGTTTCCAGTCTGCTCTGTCAAATAAAGGTGAAAATGCTAAAAAAAAAAAAAAAGGATGTCCTGAGATGTAAATGTTCAAGCCAGAGAATTCAAGTCCAAACATGCCCCATGCTCACTCTGTGCTTCACCTTGACAGATCCACTTTACCTTATCTCACTCGCTTTGACCTTGCAGTGGCAGGGAAGTCCCTGGCGCCTTGCATTTTGAAAATTATCAGCTTTGGTTGATTGATGCAAGTCAAAAAGAGGTAAATGCATTCCTAAGATAAGAGCCACACACTAGAAAGAAGAATGTCAATATTTAGGTATTGAATTAGTCTGTGAGTCAACAGAGAAGTAAGAAAAAGACCAATGCAGACGGAGCATGGGAACTTGAATCTGACACTCAGTCCCCTCTGAGTCCTTGACATACAGCTGGCTGTGTAGTTCTTGCCACTGTTAAACCAATAGGATGCCTAGAAATAGTCCTGGCTTTGTGTGGCGACTGTAAACTGAGAAAGTCTTCCACTATTTTCCATCTCCATCCATCCATTCCCTCTGTGTTTCGCAGCGTGGTGGATACTTTTTTTCTCCCTCGCTGTCTTCCATCCACGATGGAAAAAGAGGAGCAGAGCCACACTGTTGAGCTGCTGACTATACTGTTTGGATTTATGCAAATCCATGTCTGAGTGCGTCCAAACTGACTGCTGCAGGAGTTTGGTTTATGTCCCTGTCGTCAGCTATAATGTGATTATCCTTGCTCTGCGGGGGTTGAATGTGTGGAAGTTTGTGTCTTGTCATTAGGACTGTAAATGACAGGGATGCATGGGGAGACAGAGAAAGAGAGGGGGTGGGAGGGGGAGGTGGGGTGAGGCCTGGTGGTGAGGGTGGGGTTGGGAGGGGGTTAGCTGCAGATTTGAGCCATACCAGGGCTTTACTGCAGGCCACAATAGCATGTGTGGTGATTGTGTTGAAGGCTTGGCGTCCAGGGCCTGAGCCTCCCCCCGTGGACTGTTGTGTGTGGGGGCCGTGGCTTTCGCTTTCAGAGCTTTTCTCCTCCTTCTTGTGGCTTGTTAGATGTCTTTGTTCTCAGGGCGAAGGTCAATTTGAAAAGAAATAAGGAAGAAGGAAAACATTACCATGGCACTCTTCATGTATGACCTCTTCCTATACCGCCGCCTTTCCATTTTAATTTTTTTTTCTGTTTTATGTTCTCCTGGCAGCTCTCTGTGTCATGCGCCGATTTGAAAACCGGCAACGCTGAGGAATTTACATCCTCGCTAATTTTAGCAATGGGTTCCTGACCAGAAAACACATCCTCCAATTTCTGTCTATATTGGTCTTCCTGCGTCTTTCCGCCGCTGCTGTTTCTCTCCCCAGCACTCTAGGGCTTTCGCAGATTATTCTGCTCCCTAAGTCTCCTTCAAGCCCCTCAATTTTCCTATTTTCACTGCATTCTCAGCTAAAAGATTTTATATGTCCTGATCCAAGATTACACTCCCTGAATGCTGCCAAAGCTCCTCTCCAGGTTTAATCCGTGTAAAAACAAACTAAGCTGCTGGAACTAAATGCTTTAATGAACTTATTTAATGAGACAGTGAGGAGCAAATAATTATTACCAGCATCTTGCATTTTCCCAAACTGTGCTGCTGAGATCTGTTTGATGTCAGCATGAGGCGACATGAGGGGGAGTGGAGAGCAGAAACACAAGCCGCTGTTGACATAAGCCTTGTCTTTCTGCAGACTCTTTGTATATTTTTGAAACGCCGGCCTAATTCACTCCATATTCCTGCTAATGGCACCGCTGATGTCACTCAACACATAAAAATTCTCGCAGATCTGGCTTTATAAGAGCCTATAAACATCTCGGTGCTGTTCCAAAGGTGCTTTTCTGGCTGCTGCAGGAGGTTTTGTCGAGGAAAGAATCATCAGATTGCACTGGCGGAGACAAAACGTCCACATGATCCTGTCTGATTCTTACCACACCAAAGCTAAAATCACTCTAAAAGTGTTTGTCTAAAGGGTCCAAAAGTGAGGTGGCAGGGTTGACAGTGTCACAGAATAAAAAACAGTCAGATTTTGGCCTTTCACCTTTTCAAGTTCCTTTGAGGTCT